AATCCCACACAAGACGGGCCCTAGAGCAGGGACATTCAACTGGCGGCCCGCGGGCCGACTTGAATCCGGCCCAATTCATTAAAAAAAAAATAATAATAATTTTTGGTGAGGGGGGGGTTCTGTTTATTACATATATGATTCAATATAATAAAATACACAAATTTAAAAGGTAACAGATCATTTTAAACGCTGGTTTATTTACATAATGACTTTAATTGCTGGATATCCGGCCCCCAACCCAGACCAGTGGTCATTCCATATGTTGCAGAATCTCTACTGAATGGAGATAAAATAAACTTTCATAAAATAATCATTAGATGTGCAGCTGCAACCGATTAGCCTTTGGAGTCAATCCGATTCAGAATGCTAATCAACATTAACCAACACAACTCACTCAGTTTTACTAACACCAAGTTAAAATGTGATGTGGTAGTAGCCGAGAGTCGTTCAAAACAAATACTCTGAACCTGAGAACTCGACACTTTCATGACTGTGCATTACGTAACTTTTAAGGTTTGACCAAAACAGCCAAAACATGAAAGGTGGCGGGTGATATGCATTCTTCCAGGAAACGCCGGGCTTTAAATTTTTACTCAGATTGAACGCCTGTCTTAAGAGAAACTGAGCTGAACTGAGAAAAAGTCATTTTAAAAATTATTTTCTAAAATGTAAATTTTTTAAATATTTTCCCGGTGTCCCTTTGTGGACTACAAGAAAAAAAAAAGAAAAATTATAATGTTTTTAAATAAAAGAGCCTTAGCCCCTTATCACTTTGTGCCCATAACAACCCTAACAAACAACTTTTTGAACGTCTCCTGGTTCTGTTTTTCTTGTCACCAGTAAACTTGGATCTGAAATGATTAGAAACTGAAAATGTAAATAAATACTTTTTTTTTTTAAAGCATTGGTATATTTGGGCAGGCTAAAAATGTTTTTTCTGTGTGTTTTGATTGTTGACGAGGATATTTCTCCACCTAGTGGTGGTTTGGGGTATTTCAGCGTTTTTGTTAGAACAAGTGGACAGAAAAAATATTTGTAGCGTACACATAAATATGGGTAAATTATTAAAGATGCTGGCATTTCCTACAAAGTATTTTGCAACAAAAACAAATAAATAAACTTTTGCACAAAAAGATTTATTTCAAAATAATTTATTTGCATATAATTGGAATGAAGACAGGTTGATACATTTGCGATGGCACCAGTCAGTTTCCATACAGAAACATTCAGTCTATACAGAAACCTTTCGTTCAAACCTGGACAAAATGGATAAATATATTAGTAAATAAATATATTAGTGACATGTCACTATATTGAAATGTTCTATTATATATAAAATACAACACTATTTCATTTCTGGTTTTGTTCTCTTTTATTTTTTGTATTTTACACAAAGTATCCAAAAATATACTGATGTATCCCTTAACGTTCTGGAGGGACCTTTATTTTTAAAACTCTGTTAGAAAAGGCAGTTTCAGCTCATATTTCTTGGAAAACAAAAACAAACAACGCAAAGAGAAAGATCTTGAACAGGATGAAATCACACCAGATGTTCTGCGGCATCGCTAAACGCCACTTCACACGCGCTGATGTTTCTGGGCAGGTTTAAACTAATACTATGAGTTTTTATTTTTAAAATATATAAAATCTGCTTAAGCCAAAGTGCTGCTTAGAATTCAGTCATTTCCACATCAGTCTCTGTGACTGTTTGGGCACAACAAAAGAAAATCCTCATACTTTACATAAAGGAACGTTGTGCTGACACATTCATAGTGAGGTATTTGTAAAAAAAAAAAAAGGAAATAAAAAGATTCTGCATGATTGCCAAACTTTACCGCTCCAATATGAACATGTTGGCGCTTGTGAATAAGAGCATGAAAGGAACTTGAAAGGAAGGCACCACAGGGTTCACTGTGTTCAAGACGTTGCCTCTTTGGTTGGACAGGTAAGAGCTGCGTGTTGGGAGCTTTAAACGATTAAGGCACATGTGAGGATTTAATAAGTGCTACGAGTCACCATGCGACTTTCACAAGCTCTTTGTCCACTGACGTGGGCTAAAAAATCTCTTGTCATTTTCACCATGCCTTGAATTTAAGCTGGGTAATTCTTTAGTTAAAGGGTTATTCTGACCACTTTGAAGTGCAGTTCTGCATAGAATTAGGCCTGTCACGATAACAAATTTTGCTGAGCGATTAATTGTCTCAGAAATCATTGCGATAAACGATAATATTGTTAGAAATTTGACAATAATTAGTAACTGTCAAATTTAAGAAGAAATGTTGGTTAATTTTTGTGTGTAGTACATTTTTTTGACCACCGGATGGCAGTATAAGACAGTTTGAACCAAAGGATGGATAGTGAGGGAGCGAGCAGCGTGTCTCTTTAAGAAAAATGGGAGGGAGGCCCCTTGACGTGTCATGGGCTGTCTTTCGTTCCTGTTTTTCGGTTCTCAAAATGGCGGACGCTTGGTGTGGTTTGAGCTCTTTAGCATTTGTCACACAAAGCTTTTAATAAAAAGTTCTCAGCTTCTTTTTGCAGAGAAAAACAACTTTTTACACAAAGGCACGAGTTTCAACCGTGAATTTTGGAGCATCGACAAGACGGAGGTTTTTTCACCCCGAGGTCGGCCTGTTAGCTTAGCTCGTAGCTTAGCTTCTCAGATTAGCTGCTTTTAACGATCCAAAAACGCGATTGTGGACGGTTAAAACAGATTTTAAAGAGAAAAGAGAAAGGGAGGGGTCAGTGAAGAGCACCGGAGTTGAGCTTTTTGTCATCCAGTGTCTTCAGTAGAAAGAGAGAGACACGAAGAAACGATACAGCCGATAAATGAAATTGAGGCCGATAATTTTCATTTATCATGCGATTAATTGATTTATTGTTTATCGTGACAGGCCTACATAAAATAGAAAAATATTTAATTTGTTGAACTTTATGGATTCTTGTGGAGTTTGAGTTCCGACAGACTGATGAGCTAACAGCTTATGTGATTACGGCTACGACCAAAATAAATTGTTGCCATCTAAAAACATCAATCTTTAAATTTTTATTTTGCTTAATGCAAATGCTACTTCTCAGACCTTTACATCAAGGAGACTTACTCAATACAGACATTTATAAATAGTTTTATGACTATTAGCAAGAACAAATAGCTGCAGAAGTTCTTGTGTATTTGGACATGCATTTCCTCTGGTGTCCATCAGGGGGTGCTGACACCCTCCTCTCCCCTACTTCCCACAGCCTTGAAGCAGACCCACTTTCCAAGTGGATTTTCTGCCGTCTTAAACCACATTTTTTTTAAACTTCAAATTGCTTCAGAGGAACAGTATTATCTAAACTTTGACATTATTGCAAGTTTCACATTGCAAAGTAATTTCAGCAGAAATAGAAATTCCCTGCAGAAGTGCTACAGCTGGCTGCTGCTGCTGGTGTGCTTACAAATACGAACAGAACCCCCCATAAATAAATGTGTGTTGAGAAATTACCAGTGTTGAAAAAGGGCTAGTAAAAAGCGTTAGAATGAACCACAACGAGATTCTGGGATTTAGTTTCAAGATGGCAGCAATCCACTCTGGTCTTGGCCCAGCTCAGACTTTAGTCACAATCAAACTGTTTCTTCAAACTGAAACCTATCTGCAACAGGTAAGATATTAGCTCTTTTTACCTTCTAAAATGGCCTGAATATCCCTTTAAGTTCAAAAATATATCCTAAGTTGAATGGCACAGTGATGTTGACTTTACTTTTCTTTAAATACCTGTTTTTCTTTCGGTCCGTCAGAGAAGCTAACAGAGATTTTTTATCGTCTTAAACCTCAGTAGGTTTTATTTTTCACTTTTTAAAAATGAACGTGCCAGATTGTGCAAATTCTTTATAAAAATAAAAAAAACTTTCTGATTTCAGGAGGACGTTCTCTAAAATATCTCGACTGTCCCTGAGACATTTCTCAGGCTCTGCCCGTACGAGATATAACAAAACAAAAAACCACAGAGCTTTTGTAAAACTGGTGCCACAGCTACACACTGAGCTATCGCTGCGAGTGCTAGTTCCACCTAGCATGGCTTCACTCCAGTTACACTAAACAGACTCATTACTCTGCTTCTGTAGGTGTAAAGTCAAACATTTTGCTACAGCTTAGGATTCTGGAAGACAAAAGGGAGAGTATAAACTTTGTAAAGTACAATATAACATCATGATGAGATGGAAGAGCAGTGGATTCGATTGTCACCCTTCTGATTAGGCCTGAACAGCAATGAAGTAACCACATGACAAAAACATAATAGCTTGTAGTGACTAACATAATTCAGTCAGATCCATTTGTCTGAAGCGCACAAAATTAGGCAAACTACAAAAAGAAGAGAAAGATGAAAACAGCTGCCATTATTAAAAGAATGAAAACGAGGCCCACGTGAGGCTGAGCGGCCTCAGCGAATGCTCGTTTGAGGGGTTGAGCATTTTCTCTCCATTCGAACGAGCCCAGAGGGTAACTTCCTGTTGAGTTCGTGGAAGCTACATAGTTGTGAAACAAAACAAAAAAAAAAAAAAAAGTCACTACAGCAGTACCTTTAAAAACCCCTCTGTGTGAGGCGTGTTAAGAAATCTGAGCTGAGGTAGGAGAGAAGAGCATCTCTCAGCTGAGGCTGGACTCAGCGAAGGAAGGAGAAGGAAGTACCTCTGATGATGAATCAAGTTGTTCTGGGAGCAGGTGATGCAGAGATGTGGGCTCAACACCCTAATCATTCACTCATTGTCACCGAGGAGCATGGGAACCGAGCGTGAACAATCCTCCAGGAAACCGACCAGGAGAAAGACCTCGTCCCCGTTCTGAGGGGAGTCGTTTCTCCTGACGGGCCCCATCTTCACAAAGTGTTAGGTATCAAAAGCACTTTTCTAAAAACAGATAAAACGTTATGTGAGTAGGGGGAACCGTCCGCAGGCAGCTGGGGGGCTGAACGGTGGCGGCGCTGGTGGAATATTTGCTTCTGTTCTGGCTCCTGCGCAGCATTCAGGGATGCAACAAGTCCTCACACCCCAGACTCCTCTTCTGATCCTGTGGACACAAGAGTGGCTTGAGTCAAATCCCAAAACCAGCAAGAGAGAGTCCAACCTCCAGTTGTGGGGATTAATGTATCAAAACACTAAAAATAATCTGAGCTTTAGCAGGTACTAAATGATTTGACTCTAACCTCATGTCCTGTAACATGGTTAGTCCTCCGTCAGAGGCAGAGGGGGTACTCACCCTGACTGTGCTGTAATGACTGGCAGTATAAACAAATGTCCGTGCTGCGGTCAGCGGCGGGTCCTTGGAGATGGAACCTGCAGGGCGGCCTGTCCATTGCTGTCCTGGGCCCCATGAGCTGAGGCTCTGAGTGGGCCTGCTGCACCTGCCTCTGCCACACGACGTGGGCCCCGGTGCAGCAGGGCCACTCCTCCATCCCTGCCGAGTCCAGAATGAGAGGCACGGGGAGCAGGGCCGGGTGCAGCTCCGCAGGAGAGCAGCAGAAGGCCGGACCCTGCCCGTAGTGGATGTGGATGCTGCGGTCGTCCTGCAGGTCCAGGCTCTGATGGAAGCGGACAGAGGGGCCTTCGAGCAAACAGCCTGCCACTCGTCCCAAAGGAGCAGGCGGGTGTCCGTGGCAGCAGTGGGACTGCAGCTGTAAGGGGACTGAGGACACGAGAACAGGAGGTCCCGTGGGGTCCTGACACTCTGCTCCAGGGCTGGGCCGGTCAGTGGGTTCTGGCTGGGGACAGTGGCAAGGGCTGTGCTTCGGGGGACACACAGGGGAGTCTTTATCTAGGACGTGAGCAGCGGGGGCAGCCCCTGCAGCCCCGGCCCCCTGCTCCTCATCTGAGCCTCTTGTCAGGCCCTGGCTGTGCTCCCCCTCCTCGTAGTGGTGGTGTCTGTGGCGATGGTAGTGGATGTGATTGAAAACAGTCTGTGGCTGTTCTTCAAGGCAGCCTTCTTTGTTCACCACAGAGTCCAGAGACCTGGGTCGAGTCTGGGCAGCAGCCTCTAGGCTGTTCCTGCGCGGGGACCGCCCAGGACCCGCCCCGTAGTACCCAAATGGATCATAGTCACTACTCAGAGAGCTACGGAACGTGGACCAGCTGCCGTAAACTCCCTGCAGGGACACGTCCGTACAGTTGAGGACCGAGTCACTGGAGGAGCTTTGGCAAGGTCCTGAGCTGGAGTCACTCGCCGGCCCATCGGCCATGTAGCCACTGCGCTCCGTGTGGTAGCTGCCACCAGAGCAGCTCCCCTCGTCCTGCCGGCTGTGGGCCGCTGCACCACGGCCCTGCGGTGGGACGGAGACACTGTGCTGTGGTCTTGAGCCGGATGAGGTCCGCTGGGCTGGACAAGAAGAGCGGTAGTTGTGGCAGGACCTGCGGGACGGGTAGTGGTGGGAGGAAGTCCTGCAGTTCCCTCCAATTCTGTGGGACCTCCCTGTTACATCCACAGGAAGGTGGAACCCACAGCCTGCACCCAGCTGCCTGCTGCGGAGGAAGTGCAGCGTCTGACTGTCCACAGGAGAGGAGCCGCTGTAGTGGCCCAGACTGGGATAGGGTCCAGAGGGCCCACGGGGATAATGGGGCCTCATGGAGAAGGGGATGGTGTGCTGGGGGAAGGGGTGGCTGTGCGAGCTGCTGTAAGGCTGCGGGTGCAGGAAGCTCTGGCTTTGCTCTGAACTCTGCTGGGGCCTGCTCCTCTGAGACTGGCGCTCCATTCCTGTGGAGCAAAACATCCACAGGATACATCGTAAGCATTTTTCATTAATCAATGTCTCATCAGTCATGTCAAATATGTTAAAATTTAACATTTTTAAACTGCAAGAACACCACACACTTGAGTTTACTGAGCTTCTGTACAAATGTTGGTTAGTAAATGCATCAAACCAGCGTTCCTTCTGGTTTTATCAGAACATAAGCATGCTGGTCCTCACCCATGATGTTGTGCATGCACAGGGGGCAGGTGCGGTGCTGCAGCAGCCAGGGGTCCACACACTCTCTGTGGAACTCATGAGCGCAGGAGATGATCCTCAGGTTCTGGCATTGTTAAAACAAAGACAACAGAACAATGAGAACCAGCTGAAGCTACCAGTACAGCATGCTGGTGGCTCTCCTCCTACCTGCCCCTCCTGGAACTCCTCCAGACAGATGGCACAGACGGGGCTGGAGTTGGAGCTGCTGGCTGAGCCCCAGGCCCCGTGGTGGCGCTGTGAGCCCGAGCAGCCCTGGGAGCGGTAGGTTCTGGTCTCCAGGCGACTAATGGCCCGCATGGTCTGCTGATGGACAGAGTCCTGCGCACGCGGCACACGGAAAGTCAGGAAAACAGCGTGCGCATATTAAAGCTGATCCTGCAGCTGTCACTCACCCAGGTTCTGTTGGGCTTGCACTTGTAGCGTAGAGCAAAGATTAGGACGATGGTGAGAATGACGAGGACGATGGTGAGCAGGATGCTCACGTCATAATGTGGCTGCAAAGCAAACAGAGGAGCATGCTGTTGTTGTTGAGCTGTTTAAAGACAGAAGCAGTTCCCTGGTCTTAGCTGCGCGCAGACTAGCCTTTAGCTAGTCCTGCTGAAAATAAACTGCATCTCTCAAAATGAAGGTCGATCAAAACGCTACATGCACAAGATATCATCAATATTTTGTTTACAAACAGTGATGATGTAAAACCACAACGATCTTCTCATTAATCAACAGAAATAGACTTATTTCATCAATTTCTCTCTCCCTACTTCCTTGTTTTAGTTTAGTGTTTTGCAGTCGCAGTAAATATTGTCATTGTATGTAACTGAAGAAAGAAGCTGTGTAAATTTCCCAAAGTAAGTGGTTTAACTTTGTCTGCTTCTTCCAGCCAGTGAAGAAAAGTCGAGTGTGAGGTAAAACCAGTGCTTACCCACTTGGGCTCCACCTTGATCTCAATAACAACATTGGCTTCCTCGTTCTTGTTGACCAAACCCATCAGTTTCTCTGCATTCTCACCGTTCACCAGCACAACTGGACGAGGAAGGGAGTCCGTTTCTTGAAACTGTGAAAACTTGTGTGTGTGTGAGGGGGGGGTGGTCAGATGAGCGGAGAAGAAGAAGCAGAAACAACACTGTGAGTGTCGAGCAGCACCGCGAGTGAGTGTGGTCGTCCGTGCACGCTCACCTCAGCAGCAGCGTTGGTGTCGTCGCTGACGTCAAAGATAACAGCCCTGGCGCCCTTATCCAGCGCCATGCGAGCCTGAAGGACACAAAATGACACAGTGTCAATTTTTAGGTGTTTTCTATAAATATGAACAATATCATTAATAGTCTAAAAGCATCAGTTTATAAAAAGTACCCTGCTCACATTAGTATATGTATTTTAGTACATCAGCACTAGATGTCAGTCCTGTCCTGCCATGGCCTCAGAGCTCATAGGCAACGTGCACTCAGAAGAGGTTTGGGACCACAGCGCACCCTAAAGCCCGATCCATACCTTTGTTTTCTAATAAATCTAAAGACTGCAGAATTGGAAAACAGGAGAGCAATGTTTCATCATGTGAAAACAAAAGTAGGGAAATAACGGACAGTTTAACAATATGAGCACAACATGCAAATAAGAATAATTTTGTAAGACAACTAGGCCGTGAAAAGCTGCTGATCTCCTCGGTTCTATCCTGATTTACAGCATGCGATCTTAAAACAACGTCTACAGGGAACGTTGCACGGTGAAAAATGCGACCAGTCACATGAAGTCAGGGATTATATCCTAGCTGGTAAAAATAAACACAACGCGTTTTCAGACTCTTGACTTAAGCTACAATTTGACACCCAGATCATCCTGATGTCACGAGCGGATCCAGATGTGTCTTGATTTGTCTTGACCAACACAGAAAAAATAAATAAATAAAAATAGTAAGTTGTGTAGAGTTTTTTAATTTGTTTTCTCAAAACTCAATTTAAAAAGGTGTCCTTTTCTGCAAGACGAATCGAGCCATAACAAATCAATCTTTTTTCTGCACATACTGTACGCTCACCACATTATACTTATTCAACCAGTAAGACGCAACTATTTCCATAATATTTGCATTTAGTTCCTGAACCCCCAAATAATTTGTGTAATATTTTCATAACTGAAGAAGCAATTGATGGTTTAGATAGATTGCTGAACTGTCTGCCATGGAACTGTTTTGTTTTTTAAGATAAAAACATCTGCTTCAGTAAAACAGCTTAAATAAAAAACTTTAAGTCTAAGCCTAAATGTGACTCTTTGCTGCTCACTTTTTTATTACCATCAAAAGGACAAGTTTAAGTTTTAAGTAATAAATGAATCAACTCTAGTGCAGTCATTTGTAAACTTGTCTGTATGCTATCCTGATGCATGCTCAATAATCCAGATTGTCTGTATGCTGCGCAGACATGAAACGTACGCTTAGATAAAGGAGGATAAACACCTCCTCTGAGGCCTAAAACAACACACCTGTTGATTAAAACAATCAAACTGAGAAAATCTGCCATGTGGAGCTCTCAAGCTTCTTTTTCCACACAGAAAATGTTACTTTAATGTGACGCGAGCTCAGCTGATCTTACAAACATTACAATGACAGCAGCTTTAAAGCCAAACTCATATCTAGTACGAGTTTAACTTTGTATACTTGCACTGAACCATCACAGACGGTTTGAGAAACATCAGATGGTCACAGCTGGGCAAAACGTCAGATTGGGGACACAATGCCTTCATTATGAACATAGCCTAAGTTACGGTACATGCAAAGGTATTTTTTAAATATTGTTTCTAAATCCACAAACACACAGCCTCTTGTAAAAAGCAGTGTTCGATGCAATAAAAAATTCCACCCAGATCTTTAGTAATCATTTTAGTCTGCCATTAATTTATACATTATTAGCAAAGCATTCAGCTTGCAGCTGAAGCGAGAGCAAGCAGGAAAGGGCGGACACTTTCCCTCCTGCTCCTGCTTCCCTCCTGCTTTGCTCTTTGTCTTGTGATTCTTATCGGAGCCTCTCACTACACGTCCTCCGAATTGTAAATTATGGATCTGGTCAGCTGGTCTCTCAAAACAAATGATAAAATTTTCTCTATGAGAAGACAGGGCGAAGGAGAGCCCTCATGCCCTGAAGAGACACTCGCAGCCCGATACACTATGGATTCCTGGGAGCAGTGGAAGATGTTGTGTCTGTCTGTATTGTCCATTGAGGATGTAGAAGACGCGTACATAATTGGATTTTTGATAACTGGATTTCTGCTTTTTGGAGTTGGCGGGTGTCTGGCATATCGACAAATTCAGAAAACGGTGGCAGCGGTTCTGGCAATTATGAGGCTGCCTGCCTTGTATGAAGGAACGTACCGAGCAGTAAGCTCTCAGACTCATGAGCTGCATGAGCGGAGCCGTAAGCTGGACGTGATTTATGAGACTCGCAGACCACTTGCGGCTCCTGGGACTCACTGGCGGGAAGGAATCGACCTTGGAGAAGGCTACAAGCTCGGTCTGGTGGCGTGACCACAACATTTGGCTGTTTGGAATCACCAGTGAGACGTACCAGCAGAACTATGAAGGCAGACATGGAAATTCAAGCAGAGGCTGCCTGACCCAAAATAATTATCTGAATATGGCTTCCCCACTCGGCCTTGAATTGGCCGGCTATCTTAAACTGGTTGCCCCCATTGCTCCCCTCCCGAGGACATCTGTGGATCTGTGTCAGAGTTGAGTCGGCTGATAGACACTGTGCCATCTCTTATCAGGACTGTGGAACTTTGCAGTGAGTTGTCCGTGGCAGTGTCCACGGACAACTCACTGCTCTCGTCGGCCTCCTCATGCATAAATGTATTATGATGTCATCAGTATGTTGCTGTTTCATGTGCTGAGGTCATTTTTTTGCAACTTTCACATTGTGTCTCAAATAGGACACAGTGCGAGATTTGATTTTTATTTATTTTTTTACACCTACACTCCTCCTTGCGTTTCTTTTCCTTATCTGAAAACAAAAGGCTGCGCCTCAGTCACCTCCGTCTCCCCAAGTTTTTTTGTTTATGTTTCTCTTGGACGGGCTGTAATGAAATGTAATTACTTTGCACTTGGGTGCAATGACAACAAAGCTGAATCTGATTCAGGCCTTTTCGCAGTGAAGGTTTGTGTAGGGCCCGTAGCAAACAGTGAGCCCAAAACTGAGGTACGAGCTCAACTCTGATTTATTACACATCTAGCATGTAGCGTTAGCTAACAATACACACCATAAGTTAAAAGATGTAGACATTGGCATCAAAACTATCTCAAATTTATCTGTAATGCAATGAATGGGTCAAATGTTGTTGTTTTTCTTTCGGCTGCTTCTTTCTTCAAAGGTTGCCACAGCGAGCAAACTCACATAAAAGATTTGGAAATTTATTTTTTGGGCCTGACGGCGGACGCCCTTCCTGACGCAACCTGGGCTCAAGTCTGCAGACTCAGGGTTACGAGAGCGCAGCACTGACCACTGCGCCACCCGGCCCCCTGATTGTTGAAGTCATCACTGTGCAGTCATCATGTGCAGTTTTCAGGTTAGTTTTAGTGACAGGAGCTGGTTTATGTCATCTACTCTGTCGCACCTGCTGTCTGCCGGTGGTACTTCGTTGCTTCCACCTGCTGTTTTAGGCATAAACGTGCTTTCACAAGAGCTCAGATAAACCTTTGGCACAAGATGAAGAGCAAACAAGAAGCCGTCGTTTCATCAATGTCTCATCACATGCTCTTAAACGTCTGACATCTGCCAACGCCTAATGAAGAGGCGTTAGTTCCATTATTAATGTCACAGGTCGAAGCCAGCGCTAAACGGTCCCCACGCAGTCAAGCAAGACATTTAGACGATGACTAGAAAATGATCACGTTGTCCCGCAGGAGCAGGTTGTAGTCAAAGCACAATTGAAGCCTTTTAAGTCAAAAGAAGGTCAAGTGGCTTGCAGCTCTGTTGCAACAACCTTTACCCTGTTTCATCAGAGCAGTAATTGCAGTGCATGCACGGGCCTAAATGGGGTGTGGTCACATAGGAGAAAGAAGAGAAAAAAGAAGATTTGACATGTGGGAATTTGTTTTACCCGGGGTTCAAAAGGTCCCCTGCGCTGCACTGAGCTTGTTCTGCAAGGACGAGGTGCATGCAAACACACGAGAACATATCACTTCCTACATGACCGCTGTGGTCTTTTTATATCTCCGTATTAGTAGTAGTGGTTCCAGATTGTGGCTGCCGAACCATGTGGCTGGACTGAGCCGCAGGTCTGGAAGCAGGCTGAGAGATCGCATTACATGATTAATTGGAGCTACATTTAAACTTTAATGGGGCAAAGAAGATGCAGGTCTGACGCTGACAAGACAGCTAAGAGGACTATCAACACAAGCGTTTCAACATCTCGGTGTTTGCTGGAAATGAAACAGACGTGGCTGCGGTTAAGTAAACACTTATCCTCATGCGGAGCAACCTGACACAAGCGATTATCCACAGCTTGGCACTCGAGCAGAAACTGCAGCGTCGGAAATGACTGTGGTTCACAGAGCAGCACAGCAGAGACGTCATCACCGACAAACTAACAAACAACGCACCGACCGCAACTTATTTTAACACGAGCGTGTTTTCGACCGAGGCTGTGGGAAAACACCGGAGGAGGGTTCAGCAGGAGTTTGTCTAGGACGGTTTCAGACGAGGCGGATGTTGAGGCAGGTGGCGTGGAGATATCTCTAAAGACGAGCAGTCACAAGCACACCTGAAGGAACAGACAGGTGTGGTTCCTGACGTTAACAATGTCCCTCGTGCTGCCATGCTGTTGTGAATGATAAGGCTTCTTTGAAGAACGTTTACACAGAAATGAGCCCTTTTGCAATAATCTCACATTAGACGCAAACTGAAGAATCTTTAAAGCTCAATAATAATTTGGGGCCTAATTCGGAAATCATCTAAATTGGCATTTTGATGTATAAGAAAGGAAAGAACCAAGATCAAAATAAATTCAAAATGGCTGCCTGTGGCTCAGGGTCACCATGGTAACCACACGCTTGTGTCTCTCATGCCCTTGCAGCACTCTTAATAAGATGGACAGACAGAAACGTAGAGCACAAATTCAGCCTCAGATGACAAAAAGCCAATGTTGCGATGTAGAAATAGTTTAAAGAGTGGAGCGTTTGTGGGAATTGTAAGATTTATTTCCAAAAAATAAATAAATAAAATAAAATAGAGCAAAAACAGGACAAAAATGGGTGCGTGACATCATGA